CAACACTACACGTTTAGACAGTTCATCATATAAATGTATCTTGTTTATACCATTCTTCTGGTGACTTTGGTAACTTGTGCTTGGATATTGTCCAAGTATATCTACCATATGCTGTTCCTACAGCAGGGAATAGATAGCATGGAGAATGAAGTGAAGGGAAACTTGTCTCTCCCATTCATAAGCAGCTGTAAAGAATCAGAATATCCCTCAAGTATCCTTTCCTATCTCTCCCCTCTCAAAGCCCAGTGACAGATAAATGATCAGTATTAGATCTAAACAGAATTCAATTCTGCAGGCAGGGGACACATCATTCCTTCTGTTCTCTATTCTAATACTGAAAGATGGTATCATATCAGCTATTAAAATATCAGAGCATATCTGAACTCCACTGCTGATTCTATTCTACCTCCATTCATGGAATATGGCTATTGTATTAAATTAGCCAAAAAGTAAAGATACTAAAGGTAATCAAATCTTCAAAGTGTATTCATAATCTTTACAGCGAAATGCCTAAATAATCAATATTGTAGATTCTTACTTCATTTCTACCTATTCTAAAAAAAATAGGCTTATTATATAAAGCACTACAGTACACACAATAGAAATCTATATAAAAAGCACTCACATTATATTATTGGTCTCATAGATTTTGTTCCAAAACAAACTGACATACTACTACTACTACTACTAATAAAAAGTGAAATTTGCCTAACTTACAGTTATAACTTCATGATACGTTCTACCAAAAAAAACAAACCAAACTCACTGCCGTCGAGTTGTTTCCAACTCACAGCGAACCTTCCTTGGGTTTCCAAGGCGGTATCTATAAGGAAGTAGATTGCCCAATAGTGGGTTTAAACCACCAGCCTTCTGGTTAGCCTTAGGCACTATGCCATCAGAGCTCCCCATGATACATTCTAGCACTGGTTTTACAATACAAAGTTAAAAACAAAGAAATTCTAAAAGTACCTTTCGTGCCAGTGGAATACTGAGTTCAGTGCACATACTATTTAAGCTCTTCAAAATTCTTTTCTCCCAGCTTCCCTGAAACATAAGGAAAAATCCGTAATTGTGTCTGGTTAACAATACCAAAACTGATTTTATGTATACATGTAAAAGATTTTATGAGTTACATAGTGAGGCTGGTTGAGATTGGTTATTCATTCACTCAAAAAACACTTATTAGTACCTACTATATACCACGTATTATCCTTAGTGCTGTGAATTAAGCAGTTAATAACAGAAAGACTTTCTCCTCATAGAACTAATATTCTAGTTGAAAAATGGGAATGAAAATAGATAAGAAATAAATCAGCAAGTCATATGTTAACAAATACTATAAGGAGAGACTTTGTCTCTCTTCCTTTGGTCATGCTGTCAGAAGGGACCATTCCCTGGAGAAGGATATCATGCTTGGTAAATTACAGGGTCAGCGAAAAAGGTGAAGACTGTCAACCAGATGGATTGACACAGCGGCTTCAACAATGAGCTCAAGCACAGCATCAATTGTGAGTATGGCGCAGGACCACACAGTGTTTCATTCTGTTGTATACAGGACTGCTGTGAGTCACAAGTGAATCGA